GATAAGAAACAACGAACAATTTCGTGGTTGGAGGGGCTGACTGGTTGAGCAGTCTATGAATTTACATAAAGTACATGCAAAAAAATTGATGTCTTCTTTTGTGTTATCCTTGGGCATACGCATTTATTTAACAAAAATAGGCCCAGTTAATTCTGGACTGTAGATTTTTTTTTACCCCAGGGGAATATAAAATTAACACATACTTACCAAATATCCGCATATTAAAATAAATCCACAGACCATCCAAATTGTGTTCAGTATCATTTCGAATAACACAAGGCCCAAGTCCACTGCAATTTCAAACACACAATATTCATCCAAACTTGTACAAAATTCATCACAAGTTTATTATTTATTTATTTGTGCAGTGATAAACTTACACTAAGTTAATCAGAAGTTTTGTTAGCGCGGCATAGCGGTTCATATAACGGCTCTGATTTTTATTTTTTCAAGTACAAACTTTTAGCTCGTAGCTCCATCTCTTGAGCGATTTGAGAACTATTTAAAACCGCGGCTATTGAGGATTCCCTTTGTTCCTTTTTTGTAGCATTTTACAAATATAGTTGCTTGCATAAATTTGAAAGTAAATAGGTTTATAAAGCATTAATAAAAATCTCAATTAAAATGAAAATAATTGTACCATATATATATATATGAGTTGGTTTGCCCTACGGTGGCTCAGCGATAAGTTTGAGGACTTATAACAATTAAAATCAAAGCACAAGAAGTATAATATCAAGAAAACTAATAATGAGTTGGTTGTGGCCTAGTGGTTATTGTGCTGAGCTGTGGATCTGGAGATTCAAAGTTTGGGCTGCGATGTCGCTGTACACGCTTCGTACTTTCAGCTGTGGGAGTGTTAGAAAAGTGTTATTCCTTTACAGAAGACAGACAACCCTCTTGTGGCGACGGTTACTGCTGACAAACTGCATTCATTTTGGTCAGTAGTTCAAAATACAGGACAACAATACCTGAATGCGAAGGGTTACTCAACCGACCGTTTCATCCCCGTACGAATCAAATACCTTACAGGTTGATAATACTAAAAATATTAATACCGTAATGGCTATCTATGTATTATATGAAGCACAGTTGTCCGTCTGGCGTCACAGGACGTTGTGGGGAACAGGCAGATTGTTGAGATTTGATAAAACAACTCAGATATGTTTTCCAAATATCGTGTTTAAATAGTTCAGGTTTCGTGGCCATTTTAATTTTACCGCCTATGAGGTCTCAGTTGAACGAGGAGGTCGACAACAAAATGGATGAAGCCAACGCGGAACGAAAGTGACGTTTAATGCCACGCGTAGCAGTGGTATCTTTGCATCGGACAAAATTGTAGAAAGATGCAGGTGGTGCCCTCATTTACGTTCTAAGCCCGGCATTCCCCTGTACACAGTTTAGTGTATTATATTGTGTGATACAAAAGGAATTTGATAAGCCCATATCCAGCTATTTTATCATCGTCAAATAAATTACATATCGTGCTGACGTCAACAAAACCTTTGTATCTACTGACTAGTCTTTGAAAATATACGTTACTCTTATATATGTTAACTACGACTACCGAGATATTTTCATTCGAGATTTTTTATTTATTTTTTACTAACATTCATTTTTTGATATATTTGAGGCAGACACATATAAACAAATTGTGTTTGTTTGAAGTTAAGCACAAAGCTACACAATGGGCTAGATGTGCTCTAGAAACCCGGTTTCTAGTAGTGTAAGTTTTTGTTTGTTTGTAATTAAGTACAAAGCTACACAAAGGGCTATCTGTTCTCTGCCCACCACGGGTATCGAAACCCGGTTTCTAGCAGTGTAAGTCCGCAGACATACTGCTGTGCCACTGGGGGGGGGGGGTATAGAAATCACGTAAAGCACACTACATCAATAATTTTTTTCTTAATATCTCTGAAGAAGGTCCATGTTTTGGTAAAATGCGTCACATGACACAGTTTGGCTGAAAATTGACCATCTAACTATCTTCCTTTAAGTGGTTTAACTTTTTCCTTTTGTGTGTGTGTTTTAGATGTTTCGAGTTGCAAAATCAAAAGACTAAGGGTGACCTAATGGATAGCGTGACCGAACCGTAAATTCCAAGTTTCACATCTTGTTGCTGCCAAAATGCTGTCCGAAATTTGCGGCTGCTCCAAGAATGATGATCAAATTCCACTATTCTGCTCAACAGAAGTGAGCCAAGAGTTGGCGGTGGGTGCCATTGGTTAACCGCCTTCCATGCATGTTTGAAATGTACAAATATAATGCAGGTGACTGATTTTAATAAGTTTACATCCTAACTAACTGTTAACTACAATAATGGACTTGAGTTGGACTTTAGTTTCAGCATACAAAACAAAACAAAAAAATACACACAGTATCCTCTATAAATTCTGAAAAACAACAAAATATTTCGAGGACTTGTTGCGGCTATGTTAAATAATGTTTGGAATACTGTACGTATTTATTTGGGAATTTCACATTTTCGGTATAACTTTTGAATACAAATACTTGTGTTTTGGTAAATACTGTATCCGAATGGAAGGTTGTGACGTACCTGATTGTGGTAGTTTCTGAAACGACCGCGTCATTGTATTTACTTTACTTTCGAGAAACAAATTAGGTGTTTCCAACATCACTTTTGAATACATATACTTGTGTTTTGGTAAATACTGTATCCGAATGGAAGGTTGTGACGTACCTGATTGTGGTAGTTTCTGAAAGGACCGCGTCATTGTATTTACTTTACTTTCGAGAAACAAATTAGGTGTTTCCAACATCAGCAACGCCCAGGTGCTCCATATTAAGCCCCATGTACTTTCTGCCTGAAAAATGTCAGTAGAATTAATAATAAAATATAGTCTGAAACAACAATAGAAAAAGATCTTCTAAGAAAGTGCCAGACACAACAATAGAAAGATTGACACAACAATAGAAATATTTCTAAGTATTCGTGTAGATGATAAAATAAGTATTGTTGGAAAGATACATCGTTGAGATTGTTTGTTTGTTTTTGAATTTCGCGTAAAACCACACGAGAGCTCTCTGCGTTAGCACGTCTCTAATTTAGCAGTGTAAGACTAGAGGGAAGGCAGCTAGTCATCACCACCCACCGCCAACACTTGGGCTACTTTTTTATCAACAAATAGTGGGATTGACCGGCACATTATAACGCCCCAACGGCTGAAAGGGCGAGCATGTTTGGCGGGACGGGGATTCGAACCCGAGATTGTGAGTCTAGCGCCCTAACCACCTGGCCATGCCGGGCCATCAATATTAATAAATAATATACTCACAATTTTTGTGAGAGTGACATTATTATGTTTCCACATACAAGTCTATTGAATTGATGTTTCGGTTCATTTTCAATTTCTTGGTCGTTAAAGACGATGTCATCTTCAGTTTATTAAACTGATGTCGTGGATGTATTTTTCTTTTTCTGACATGTTGTGGTCATCATTCTCACTTTATTGTAATGATGTCGTGGTTGTCATTTTCGGTTTCATAAAATGTGGAATTAACGTTCAAATATAGAAATATAACTTCTCCGAAAGATGTCGTAAAATTCTTAGCGGACTGAGTGTTTATTGAGATTTTAACAAGCAAGAAATGAAACAACATCGAAATTCATTTTTATATAGCGTTTAAATTTCTATTAAATAAAAACACGTCTTAAACTATATTAACCTAACAAATATTTAGTTAAATATATAACCAAGACGAGTTTATTTTTAATAAACAAAACGTTGTAATAAGTTGATATAACTCCGTAAACGCCACGTTTCGTCGATTGTAAGTCGGAAACGATGATTTATTTGTTAGTTTTCTACAACGTCTTACACCTGCTTTTTTATCTTTATTACTGTAGAAACAAAAAAAAAATGACAATTACATCGTACCTACTGTTAGGGCTTTGTTTGTAACCGTGGAAAACATCAAAACGTGACAGCTATAGTATTAGTATAAATTCAACCTATCTATTTACAGTAAATCCTTATATTTAACAACGTCTACACGTGACAACTTTACCAACACAAAAAAGGCGTGTTTAGTGTATTGTTACGTCTCCGTGTGTTAATTAATTTTCCGTAACTTCGTTTCAACGAAACTTTAACGACACAAGTCTTTACTTAAT